GAGAGAGAGAGAGAGAGAGAGAGAGAGAGAGAGAGAGAGAGAGAGAGAGAGAGAGATGGAAAAGGGTTTAGCCAACCGATGGGGTTTATGAACGTTTTATTGCTTTTATTTTTATTTATGGTCAGAACTCGTCCTCATCGGCACAAGATTAGGAATATGTATGATTGTCAAAAACGTCTTCACTTCCTTCTCGAGCTATCTCCATCTTCTCCTCAAGCATAGATGAATCACGGAGCAATCTCATCTCTTCGGTCTTGGCTTGCCTTTTCTATCTAATGCATTACCTCCACCGTGTTCGCGCAAACTATAATAGGTAACGAAGGATGTAAGGTACCTTTCAAACCAAGAGAAAGATTCCTAAGGTGACAGAAGGGTTTAGGCATGTTCCAGAGTTTCAGAGAACCATCTTTTCAGCCAGAGGGAAAAGCATACCCTACTGTCTTCAGACTCTTCACAGGAATTTCAACGTACGGTAAGCATGAGTATAGCTGTATTTGGGGATTTTTTGAGTCTAAATATAGCGGGCAGCCTGTCTAAATACGTTGTATTTGGGTTAAGACGGTAGGCAGCCTGGTGTAGTACGATACATAGCCTTCGGCATCGAGATTGGACTTCCTGGGGCGTAAAAGCGTCCCGCGGGCCAGCCTGTGTAATACACTGGTATAATCGTCTTAATCGTCTTATGGTTGTTTCGGATCATAGTAGGGGGCCACTACGGTCGTTTGGAACAAAGCTAACGAACCAAGAAAACGAAAAAATGGTGGCTCTGAAGCTGGAGGCGGATTCTCAAGAGGACTATAGCAGACCGACTGTCAACGTATCTATATTTCATTTGCTCTCTCAAAAAGAAAGGGGCAGGGGGGACCTGGGGAGGGGGGAGAAGGACAAAACAAGCCAAAAGAAACGAACACACCGCCAGCTATATTCAATTCAGACTCCATGGTCGGGGTTAAATGCCATTGCTCAAGCCTAAGGAACAGCGATTTCATCAAAACGGACATTTAAAATTTTTTGAACGAAATTGAAATTGTTATTTTCATGTTGATTTTTGTGAATTTTTATGTTTTGAGTGCACCATTTTGGGTAGGTTCCCCGCATTTGTTTATAACTTGTGCTCATGTTCACCACAAGTTTTGCATTGCTTTCTCACACATTTTGCGGGGTGTTACAGTTTCATTCGCATTACATGAAGCTATAGGGGTCTTCATGATGGGTTTTATTGTACTTTTCTATCACATCGATTAACATTTACTATATTTCGCAATATAATATCAGTTATTTTTTGTTTTTTATTGACAAATGCATTAAGACAAGATAAACATATTGATATCATACTAAAAAAACACATATGGCAGGTTCAGTCAATGATAAAAAACTCCATGGACATCTATAAAAGTTAGAGACATTTCGTGCCACCCATGAATTACGAACAACATTATGTGAATATTTTCGAAATCCATATAAAAGAAAATCGACTTCTTTAGATAAATACAAAAAAACAATGATGCGGAGTTTGGCTCATGCGACATATGATACATATATGTACATAGAGAGACTCTCTCTCTCTTTCTCTCTCTCTCTCTCTCTCTCTCTCTTTTTTACGAAGACAATGTCTATGAAAGTTGGTGCCCTAGACTTCATACACTCCTATACACTACGAATATGTGCAGCCGCACATGATCGTACAAAAGGTGGAAATGCGTTTCGACATCGTTTTAAAAAAATTAAAATCCGGYACATGACGAAAAAAAACGATATGAGCACTCGTACGAGCGCAGGATCTACTATATTGCTATCTCCGTCTATGTGTGCTGAGCTACAAATTTCTCTATACCAAAATGTCACGAAGTGCTACAACGGCGCAAATGAACAAGGTCGTTGCTGAGACCGTTGGCTCGGCGGAGTACACTCTTTGTAATGTTGAAGTTCGTTGTTAACTGAATTTTTCTGAATTT